ATAGGCAGCTGGCGATGTACAAGCATCTTGTACACCCATTCCGGGTAGCCAATACGCGCCACGTGGGGCACCTTTGGACATGGGGATAGAAAACGTAAATTTCTAGCTTACACTAATTACGAAACTAAAGGCTAATGCTTATTATCAGCTTGTGAATCTGTTTTAAGCGCAAATAAAACGCGAAGCAATATTCATTTCATCATTGTGAAAATTCTTTAAATGCAAGTCTAAACAGCAAATCTTTGTAATGTTTGCGATAAACACAAAACAATGGAAACAAGGCATTTCGAAAGCCGCTTATTACAAAGTATGTTCTGTCAGGAATATAGTTTGGTGCAGGCTAGTAATAGAGCATAAATGATGGTTGCTCACGCGACACATACGAAGTAAGCACAACAAGTGACGGTACTTATTGCATGAATCGGTTTCAACTTTGGCTCTCCCAACCTTTGGGTAGCGTGCATTGGAAGAGCGCAACTGTTCCAAGTCGCTAGGTAATTGCCGTGAATGTTGTTTCTTGATAAGACAAAACTAGGTTGGGAACAGTGGTACATGAAAAGGTAGCGCTTATTGTGCTTTCACTTAAAGCACGATTTCTAACGTGTATAGTAAATTCATTCTCCTCCTCCACCTCCACTCCCACCACCATTGCATCATCATCATCATCATCATCATCAGTTGTACCTCAGCATAATCAAGATTATATAGATACGAATTTTCAGGATTTGAAAAACGAAAAAAAACTGTCTCCAATTTTATTTGTTGACTTGATTGAAGCATCTACCAGCCAGAAAGCATTTTGGTTTAACAACCAAACCGCGATTCCTACAGCGTGACAACCTTCTTATAGGCTTAAACACTGAGGTACAAATATTTTTGCCTTTATATCTCAAGAAAAATAGTGACATACTATAGTGACGGTAGCAAACAACTGTGCCAAAAAACTTATATTTTAAATTCCTAGCTCCCTATGGTGAGAATATCTACCAGAAATTCGAACGAGTTCTACTAAAGAAAATTTCGAATCATTCAAATGCTACACCAAGGAGATAGGAACCACATTCCCCTTCCGCACGGAACTTGACCAAACAATATAATTCTCTATTTATGGTTCTCTTTTGTCTCAAATGACGCACAAAACTTTACAAGGAGTGGCGGTGTAGCGCGCGAGCGCTAAAAGGTCTCAAGATCGAAAGTGGTGGACACTTCCGTTCCGGCGCCATCACCACGATCATTCGCACGCAGTTACACGCGAATGAAGGCAAAGTATTTCAGTTCGAAAATGGGAGAACCATCTGGCCATTCATGCAACTAGAGGCTTTATAATTTGAGTAAAGTGGACGCAGCACTAGATTGTGCGGTCACTTTTAAGAGAAGAGGTTTTCGTTGTCATGAGCTTAGGACTTGATTAAAAGTTGCCCATTCTCTTCCCGGTCATCCGTTGCAACGCCGTATTCTCAGAAATTATGAAAAGTAAGATATTTTGCCTGATAAGTTGCCTAAGTTCGCAAGCCAAATGCAACTACAGTCAAGCAAGATAAATACATCCAGACCAATCATTCGTCCTAAATATACATGTCCTCCAGCGATGCCCACACTAAACACCTCGTAGAAAGGAACCAATGGACAATGACTCTTAACGGAGCCCGTCTCAAAGCACCACATCTTGTTAAGTATCTCAATCACTGATTTTTTTTCTTTGAATAAGCACTAAAACTCATTCATTTACACGACCTCATGAAAACGTAGAAGATTTATTCGTGCGATGCGATAGAAAGGTCGTATATCATCTTAACCCACATGACCATCTCCCACGCACGAGTAAACACCCAGGCTTACGCTGTAAGGAGTTAAAAAGTCACTACCACAATACAAGGATGGAATATTTTGAAGATGACATTTGCGCAAGTTTTATGCCCATATCTTAGCTCCTAAGCAGTGAAACTATAAGGTAGCTTTCGAAGTGCCTTACTTTCCAAAAATGTGGGAAGATCGAGATTGTGTCTACACTAACCAAAGAAATCATTGCCAAAGTGATGATTTGATTGACCAAATCGCCTTAATTAACCTCTTGGACCTATTTCTTAAGGAAAAGAGGTGATTTGCAATCCTTTTACAATCTACGCGGCCTTTTTCATAACAGCATGAACTGAGTCACAACAACGAAATTATGGCAATCGAAACGAAAAAGATCTGTGTGAGCTGTGCGTCGAAACAAATTCTAAGGTTTCTAGACTTGATGTAAAAAGAAGTATTTTCCCACTTTCTTTGGACCATATGGGCCAGTGTCTGCTTAAGAGGTGCTGGCACAACTAATTGTCCGTCAAGCATCAGCGTAGGTGGTCGTTAGCGGCAATATGCCTGCCATGAGCGGATTTCTCCAAGCAGCTGATTTGTTTCATCAGAAGAGCATGTGAATAGTATGAGAAGCGTCCATTCTTGGGAGCGAATAGAGCATGCCAATCAAAAATTCACCGAAATATTAGGAATGAAGTAAAAGAAACAAAAATGACTTTTGAGACAATGTTCATGTTAAGAAAGTGTTTCACGTTCGATTTGTGTTTTCACATTTTTAGGGTCTCTATTCTGCTAGTTTAGCACAGACCTCTTGAGTAAACCTGCTCGTTGTATTGCAGCAACTTTCTTATGTTTGGATAATAGACGGTTACAATGTGGTACATCTCCAACGCTATTTTGTGCGGATTGGAATCAACAGAAAATAACTTATTGCCATTTGTGGGAGTTCTTCTTCAAGCAAACCTGTGCACACAGACGTGCTTTGAGAAATGGTTGAAGTAATCACACTAAGAATCTCCTGAAGTGCGCTCAGTGAGGAGTGACCTTCACTATCTCGGGGTTTGTACGGACATAATTCTTCTGGTGCACCCTTTATCTTTTTCCACATCTTCTGGAAATTCCCTGGCGGTGTGCAAATATATCAAGTAGCGGAAATAAGCTAACGTGTATGAAGAGAGGAGTTTGGCAGAATGCGGTCAAACGACCCGAATGCACCCATACCGTAAATGAAGTTCAAGTAGAGTGAAATGGGATGGAAACTTTGTCAATTGAGGTAAATCAGTAGAACTCTAAGCAAGACTGGATGGCCACATGACGACGTCAGTGGCAAACAAGTGTAAATATATCCACAGAGACTTTTACAAAACTGAGCAAATCGAGGTCCTGAAAGTATAGTTTCCAGGTTGACGACCAAATGCGAGTTAAGTCAAGGCTGTAATCACTGAAGCAAGATATTACTACTCAGTAAAAGTGAGACTGTGTACGGGATCTTATATGTGAACTCAATGGAATGCCAACGTGAATGTTAATGTGAGTCTTTTTTTGTAAAAATTAACTATTACAGTGTCCCAAATCCATTCTTCCAACGGTGTTGTAGCAGTGAAAACAGACTCCGCTGAAAACCTGGGAGCCATGCAGGACGCAGACAACAGAATGCAAAACAATGAAGTACGATTTCAGCAAAATTTGTCTTTGAATAAAACAAGTAATTTAGCTGAAAGTGACAGCAAGCTGCTGACAAGTTAACTAGAACCAAACATCGAATTTGATGAAGCAAGCCAGCTGCCATGATACAGACAGTCATATTTTGGGTGACTAACGCATTCTCTAAGTCCGAGCATTTCGGTTAAACTAAAGAAAGGGTGAAATGAAGTAAATAAGGGGAGGTTTGGAAAAAGAATGGCCGTTGCTGTTAAAGGTCAAGCTTTGTTCGATTGGCATCAGTGACGCTCACAAACAATACTCCCAGTGGGTTGCTTAAAAGTGCTTCAAGGTAAACTTTTTGTAATGAAGATGTGAATAAGTTAGTATTAAAATCTGATGTTTTAAAAGCTCACACTTTTTCAACCTCACACTAGTATGCTCCTAATCACTATAGCACGTTTTGGTGAAAAACCAGAAGACACTTTCAATGACCATTTATGCTTGGAGTTCTTAGTAAATTAAAAACACAAAGAATGTTTAATGGCAAAGTCAACAACGTGCGTCACGTCATAACATCTGCAAAACGCACTGCGGTTAGGCATGGTAATGAAAGTTGTTTATATTTAGTGATTTGGTTGACAACGCAAAGGTCAATGCACATGGGATGCCTCTCAAACAGTCGATGTATAGAGTGCACCCTTATCAGTACGTATGTGGCATGAGTAGGAGAGGAAGATGGGCATGTGAATGCCCGGCCAGTGGTCTTCTGCAGTTGGTGAAATCTCCACGGGTGGAAAATGGAGCAGTAATGTGTGTAAGATTGAGCTGATGAATGAATGTAGGTTTTGGGATTGGAGGAACGTGTATGAAATTCCACATTATTTCAGTGAGACTAGGTGTCATCTGAGTAGTGTCTGTATTTGACTGACAACACCAAGTTAATAATCGAAGGAAACTCGAGTCAAAATACTCTTTTGGTAGGCTCCGATTCCCCTAATCTCAAGTTACGACAGATCAGCATTTATTCGGTCACCCAGTTAAAATTGGCATGGTAAATTGGAATGAAACCTTTTGGTAATTCGAGCTGTGCCTATCTATTTAGAATTATATTGGCTTTTCTTGGACATGCAATCTATAGATCAGATCTGGCCTCCAGAAGACCAGGACAAACGGATTACAGTACGTAAAGGAAGGGAGATGTCTGACCTATCAAGTCACAATAGCTTTTCTCCATCACCGTCAGCTACGACCCTCAGGGTAGTTTCCAAGATGTGTTGGTCACGCGAAAAATGGCAAATTTAACCCCGCAAGGCCACATAACATATGCCTGATGAAGGCATAGATATGGGGCCAACACTGCTCTACCATTGGGATTCTTCGTCACTTGGGGCCAGGCCATTCCAACACTTGCTACATTTTGACTGTTTCGCCCAGCGTATGTATTTGGTGTAGCATGATTTTAATACAATACTTAAAGCTGACTTGCACTTCCTTTTGACATTGAATACTGAAGTGGGAGACATTCGTCGAGTGGCGTGAGGAAGCAGTAAATGAGGCTATTACTCATGATGTGCAACCGCTAAAGCGAATTCTTGGTGCTCCTCAGGAAAGATTTTGTTCATTTGCGGGGAACTTACTTTAAGAAGTTGGCAAGGTGTTTGTCCAAAATTTTTTATCATCCCCTCGATAGAGGCGTGTTCGATTGGGTCGGTAACGTCATCCAAATCAACTGCCCCCTCGTAGGTCAGGTAATAATAAACATTGAGGGCATTTTCGGCCGCTTTGCCACGTTGCTTGTAGCTGTTATGGGGATGGAATAGAAATATTTTGAAAGACTTCAGAGCCAGAAAATAATCCTCATCCTAGTATCCTTTATAAAGCCCTTTTTTCGCGCAAATGAAAAGTGATCGAATGTTACAAACGCTATCCGACATTTCACGTACGCAACTCTATTCAACAGTGGAGAGGTGTAGAGCGAGTGAAAAAAGTCCAACAGGGAAAAAAAGGAACAAAAATCACACCACCAATTGGAATTCCCAAAGAGCAGGATTTCAATTCTGTCGTCTCCAAAACCTGGAAGGAGGAGGAGGGGTCGGACCACTGCAATAGTACAACCACTACCCTCTCCAGAATACTTCTTGGTAGTAGAGTGTGAATTTTGGCACAATATACTAACTCAAAAGGCACCGAGGCTGTTAAGAGACAAATGCATAATCTTGGTGCCAAATAGCCCTTTAATTATGCATCCAACCTGCGACTTAAGTCTAGAATAAAGTTGCTACCCTTACCACCAACTCCTAATTTTTTACGAACAGCTGAAGTTTTGTTCGTCAATTACTAATGTAAAAGGATAAACAAAACAGAACGAAGATAGCACCGACCCATTGGCATAAGAAGGTTTGCACCTGCAGAACTCTTCTGGTGCCAGTTTTGGTAAAATGCATCAAAAATTACTTACGCACACATAAAATTGACGCGATTTTGCCTATCTGTGGGCACAAACTAGCAGACCAATCAGAAAAGAGTTAAAATTCTAAGCACAAGATATTAATGAAAGCTTCGAATTCCCCACTAGGCAGTTGACAGAGAGATGGGTAGTTCCAACGGCAATTTGGGGACATATGAAGACGCAGTTGCCTGTTGAATTCTCGTTCGTCATAAAATATGAATTATTGAAGCAAAAAAACAGACTATAATGTGTTTAGGCACCCAATTGCAGGTTAATGCATTTTTACAGGTATTCAATGTAGAAAGTGAGGAAAACAATTTTCGCACTTTAAAATAATGGTATCACTGAGAGCCCTAAAGTACTAATCAACAATATCACCATTTTCGACGATTCTTGTATTTGGACAAAGTCAAGTGAGACGAGGGAGCACTGTGGAAAAAAAAGGAAATAAATTTCCCCCGAAATAAAACTACTGGAACCCATAGTTAAATCGTTTGTAGTTAAATTCTTGGCTTATAGGCATGTTACATACATTCAAATCTTATTAAGCTTCATTTCTGGCGTTAAAACTTTCTACCCTTCTAGTACACTATTTTCACTTCTCAGCTGCCTATACGTAGGGCCAGTAGAAGTTAAACGCACCCAAAGATAAGATCGATCCACTTGTGGAGGTTGGCAGAAACATAATCGGATTCAAGGGCGCCTCGGTGAATGCGAATGAACTCTTCAGGTGTAGATGCCCATGGAGGAAGTTCCACATCATCTACCTTTTTGCCACTCACCTGCAGGCGACCCAGGTCAAAGTCTGAAAAATCGAGGTGGTTTAAGCGGTATGAACTTGAGCACTTACACATGTTGAAAATCCAGATGATGCCAAAAAGCAGTGCAAAAGGAACAAAAGTCGCGGATATTATGGCAAAATAAGTATTAACAAGATAAACCAAGGCATGAGAGATTAATACTATCGGGCTGAGTTGGATGCTAAACATGGGTAGTGTCAGAAATCCGGTTTGACAAAACCATGAAAACATTATTGCTTTGACTTATGCTGATGCTACAGTGATAAAATGACGTGTCTTTATTTTAGCTGATACACTTATCATCGGAACCCACATAGGGTAAGTATGCAACCTCTAACCCTGCTATTACAGCAGAAAGACCCTGAACATGTGCACAAGCAGTACACATTTTATGATCATTGGAGCCAAGACGCATCCTTGATAAATGCCAGATCGTGCTGCACTACTTATTGTGCATTGCGACCCATCCTACTAAAGAGCCTTCGGTTTAAAGAGGTAAGAAGAAATCTTCCTCCTCCTCCTCCTCCTCCTCTCCCAGACATTCCTATACAAAAAAAATACGCCCCAATTTGGCAACAAGTCTAGCAACTTGGGGTGAATGGAATGCCCAACGCCTGTGAAGACTCGAATCAGACTATTTTCAACACCCAGAAAAGAATATTGGGCTGATATTTTGAACATTTTAGGCTACAAAGCTCAGTCACTTCATACCCTTATTAAAAGGTCGTCTGTTAGCAGGGACTGGAAGGTGTAAATTTTGTGAAACAATCAAATACTCAAGTAGGCTAATTGAAACTTGAGAAATTCGCAAGTATAATCCCATTCAGATAATTGCGTCACTTTAAGTACTCTAGCTTGTTGATGCTTAACCATTGCAGTGGATGATGCAAGCGAAATGAGTGGAAGCGTTTCAATGAAACGTGGGCCTATAAGACAATAACTACAGATCCCCATTTAACACCACCTTTAAAGCAATGAATGAAGTGCGTGCAAAAGTAAAGAAGTGAAATTGAAGAGTTGCAACGGTTTCCTGTTCGTGAGTTTTTTCTTTAGCAGAGGCGCATCATTGATGATGGGTCTCAATTGGCTATAAAGCTGCAGCCACTTAAGCAAAATGGAACAGTAGATTTACTACTACTTTACGTAGTACAGTGGGACCTACATAGATTGATACCTGCCAGTGCTATTTTAAAGAATCTATCGAAAATATTAATAAAGACTACCTAGCATGCAAGGCGCAAGAAACGCAAGAACGCGAATATGCCGGTTGTAAGGCAAAGAAGCAAGATGACATCGAATCAAGAGGACGACATTGGCCACTTAATGGTGCGAGACCAATTGTGTGCCTTATGGGGAATGAAAAGTGGAGTATTTGGGCAGTGATCAGCTCCAAGACAATTTCGTCAAGTCCAGTTTTATCTTGAGCAGATTCTGCAGTAATCCAGGCCTCGTGCATGGAAGTAGATGGATGTTAATTTGACTTTGCACAGGAGATATGATAGAAATAAATAAAAAGAAATGAAGTAGAGAGAAAAGCTCGTCAAACCTTCTCGGCAAAGAGAAGTGGACCAACAAAACTAGCTAAAAAGTGCCAAATAGAGATGGGAGATGTAAAATGCATGTCTACCAGCCAGGTACGTGAAAAAATTACAACGCCTCCTCGCATAGAGAAAGGTTATGTATTTTTGCGATGACGGCAAGCCGAAACTATCACCGGTAGTAGGGCGGTAAGGCTTGCTTGTTCGTGTTAGCAGCATGACATGGAGGATAGAGAGAAGGAGTGAGGAAAGGAGGTTGGTATGGATGCGTTGCTTACCGTTGTCATTCCGCAAAAAGTCGGGAAAGTGGAAAAATTCAGGGATAAGTTCACGGTTGTCGTAAGGACTGGACATTATCAAAGACCAAGCCATAGGTATTGAGTTGAATTGGCGATCCGCCACGTCGAACCTGGATAACCGACGGTGGGAGAAATGAGTATGAAAAATCGGCAAGCGTTACAATCTTCGAGAGAGGTTACTGGCATCGCAGAAATTATTTGGCATGAACAACTTGATGAGAGAATACGTATAAGAATATGGAGGATGGAATAAGTCAATGTCTTTTTTCGAGATGGGTTCATACCGTTGGCCTTGAAGATGGATATGAAGGCTGGTGAAGGGCTCAGTTCGAACGAGGTAATGCATGACTCCTGCTGCACTAGAATAGTGTGTGCCGTAGTGAAACTTGGAAATCGCACCGCTGGGATCCTCAAACGATTCATATCTTATTAAGAAAACGAAGAAATTTAACTTAGAAACTTGGTTTACAGCCTAAAAGAACTTTGCATAAACATTGAGTACGCCTATTCCAAGTAATGCAAAAGTGACATCCATGGAAGAACGAATGATTGGTGAGGGGAGTCATATCTCCAGAGCAGGATGCAGAGTCTCAAAATAAAAAAAGGAATTTGAATTAATAAAAGGACTTGTAATTTGATAGTGGTGGTCGTGAAATAGTGGGGCTAGCTGAAGACAGTACAATTCACGCATGAAGGAACCAAAGGCCAGTCCCTGCTTAGCATATAACAGTTTGCCTTAACTTATTCAAGAAACTGAAACATTCCTCCTACTTTGACAATGATAAAATATTTAAGCATATAGTACATTTGTGGAGCAATTTTCAGGTGTCAGCACGAATACATTTTACCGCCTAGGCTAGTAAAGTCCATGTATTGCAGTTCTACATGCTATTTAAATTTATTTATAAATGGCAATCAAGAAATTAATGAGCGATGGTGTAATTACCGGTTCCTGCCTAGACCCCACATTCTATCAAAATCCTAATAGAATACGCAATGAGTTTGTGTTTTTCCCTCGTGCTGTCTGAAACCGAAAGCGAAAAAAAGTGGCCTTCGTTTTGACTTTTGATGATAGCAAATACGGAATGACGTTCGAAGGGCGACTAACAAATAATTGTTGGAAAAGGCCGAAGAGATCAACTTATGATCTAACCTGCTTACAGAGGTAAGGCCACGGCAACTGAAAAGCTCTCCACTGATAAAATAGGAGAATAAATATTTTCATGATCGAATGTTGGCTATGACTGAAACTATTCTGCAGCCCAGGCGAATTATCTTAGAACATCATCCACGCTAGAATGACAGACAGGAATGTAAATTGAGGCAAAATAGCTTCAAACAACAGAAGAAATGGCTGCGTGCGTTAAGGACGATGAGAGCTAAAAAACTAAGACTTACTTTTCGCGAACAGTGGCAATGTTGTCGGGGTTGACAATGCCAATGGGTCGAGAGAGATCTCGAAACGTAGCAGGTTCATCAAAGTTCAACTGCTTCGATGTGTAGTCTGCCAAAATCCAGGGCAGCTAAAGTGCACATATTCCTATTTGTTCACTCGCGCCGCGATAAAAAAAAACTGGCTGCACCTCAAAATGCAATATCAGAATGTTTAAGCTGTGTAATGTGTGCGTGTGAAGTCATCCCCATGTCCCTCGAACTCATGCTTGGCGGCATTGTTTTACCTTCTAACAATACCATTTACACAGTTTCAATGAGAAGTTCTCGTCCTAGCACAACTGACGAATGTGTTTAGATGGAGGAACAAAATCAGGAGAAAACAAATGCAATTTCACTGGACAAAAATAAAATTTAGACGCCTTAAAATTCAAATGTGAGGGCGTTTTGTCCAATGAACATCCTGTTTTGGAAATAAAACAGTGGTTGATATGAATGAAGTTTGATGTCGAAAGAAATATGCATATCTAGGTGTTATTTACGGTGAAGCAACGCACGAAATAAAAAAGTTCAAATCAAATTTTTGATGCATTTTTATGGTTATTGATTAAATCGAATTCTGGACGGGTCCAAGACAGTGGTCTGTTGATATTTTACCGAACCGTTGGTATGATCAAATGCCCGCCTTGAATAGCGAACGGTGGAGCAGAGATTAGTCACCGGTGTGTCTGGAATTTCGCACTGGTCGGATGAAAACGAGAGATCTGAGGTGCACTCACGCACACACACACACACACATCATGGGGAGCACACTAAGCTGTGTACAAAATTCACTGAATAAATCAGGCCTAGCAAACCAATAAGAAGTTCACCCACGGAGAAAATCGCTAACAGCACTAAACATTTTCCGATTTTATGCTCCAACGTTAGTTGCGTAGCTGACCAGCTTACAACGAGACATAGATCGTGGCAATGAAAATCCAACATTCTGACTGTTAGTTAACCTTAAATTTGTAAAATTAAAGCTGAATAATGACTTTAAAAGTCGAGAACGGGAGAGAGAGCGTCCATGGAATCTAGTCTTTCACGTAAGGACAATAATATGACTATATCTATGACCGTAAACATTAAGTAAATCGCTTTAAATCAAAATAAAATCATTCGAAACCAAATTTTTAAGCTTGGCAGCTAAAGTATCAGACAAGGTACACCCAATGGCTCAGCGCACAAACGAACGATATGATAGTGTAAGAACAGAAGTTGCATGGACGTGAGCAGTGCGAACCCTGAAGTCCGTGCGACAAAACTAAACAATCTTTTTGCAAGGCACCTAGCTGCGAGTTAGCCTTACTATTCGTGTGAAAGAAGCACATTGTTGTTATATTCTTGAAATATCACAGCTCAACATGTCATTCTACACCAAACTTCCAAAAATGCCGTGCATTCACTGGGGCTATAGTTCGTTATGTGCAGCCAGTGAGGTTCGAGTAATAATGCTTTTAGCACTTTGCCTTCATAGTAGTCAGCCTGAAAAAGGATTGTGATAAAGCGGTCACCCCCAAAGCTACCGTGTTAACAGCACTTTAAATTTAAAACACAAATGATAAGTCCGAAACATTAGTAAATGGGCGTTTAGCTGAATATTTAATGCCGTTTCAGGGGTGTTGAGGGTTAGCAGCATGATGTAATTTCGTTCAAT